ACATCAATGTTTTCTGATGGAAAAGGAAGTGGAATGATGTAGCTGGAAGGTTTAGACAGTGCGACATGCCAGAGAGGGGACATTTAGCAATGGGAGGGGGGGAGTGCTGAGCAAAGGTGGCGGTGTTATGTTGAAGGACGGAATAGTCATGAAGCAAATGAAGCCCGACACTGGAATGTGTGAGAGGAAAGTGTTGATAAGATGTGAATTGTACAGGTAGGAGTGACACGAAGATGAAGATACGTAAAAGGAATGTAAATCTGAAGAAAAATGGTTAGTCTCAAATTGATTCGTGATTCCGGATGCAACTGCTAGTTGTAGTCCCGTAAGTGTAGTGCTTTTTTGTTCGGGAGGTGGCTACGATCTTCCCCGGATGGTGAGATCCGGCGCCGACCTATCGTCGACTAGCGGGGTTTTCCCCCAACCAGGTATCTCCCACTAGCAGGACACCGGCCCAGCCGGGACAAGCTCTCAACTTCCGACCGGTCTCTCGGCAGTGTTAATGTAGTGCATGTGAGGGATAGAACAAAGCAAGAAATGGGAAGGAAAGATCGCGCACATCCCGTAGTTCGTTTGTTAGGGTACTGCTCCAGCGGTCGCCAGGTATTGATTGGAGAAACTATGGAAAATTACCGATCGGAGATGTCGGCCACTAGAATCCTCCTCCAGACAGCGACAGAACCCGACGTAGCTATCCTGCCACCGTCGGGGCTCGGACCTAGGCCCTCCCGGTCAGAGGCACTGTAGTGACATCTGTTGATGCCCTTAGCCACCTCTCCTTACAAGTGAGGAAGTAGTATGCAAATTGTGATATAGGCTAGTATAAGATGATTGTAAAATTATTTGTGCTTAGTAAATAGAAAAAAACCTTAATGCCATAGTCCTGATGAAGCTTAATGAAAGACGAAACTTTGGCAGTTTAAAAATATTTTTTTTTCCTCTTTTGACCTAAACTCAAGAAAGTTCCTAGCAAAATAAATTACTATTAAAAGACACTATTTATTAGTCCTTCAGAATAGTACTAAATATATACACTTGTATGAAGCAGCAAGAACCATACTTGGGTGTTTTCTTTTGACTTTTGTCTGTTTTAGCCAATGATGACAGTCCTGGAATCATTAGCAAAAAAGATGAGCCAGTAGAATTGATAAAAGTTTATGCGACTTCTGTACACAAGCCAATATTAATGTAATACCTTTATATTTTACACTAAGAAAATATAAGTGTGAAAAAATTCAAAATGAAAACGCAAATTGTGATCAATAAGTATGAAGTTAATTTCGGTCCAAGATAATGAATGATCACCGATTTCAAAACTTTCTTGGTAACATGATGCAGAGAACAGAGATTTTACATATTTCTCTTCAGAAAGATGTCTAATTAGAGGCAAATTGATGAAAATTTTATGATTTTTAAAATTATATAAAATATTAAATGTATTCAAAGGGAGAAAACTGTAACAATCTTCCAAAAGAAATATGGATTACAAACTTTGCTTTTTCGGTAGATTTCACAAGGTATTTAAAGAGTAACTTGAACATTCAACAAAATAATAAACTGATTTATACTATGTTTCAAACTATTCAAAATAAAATTTAAAAATTATATTTCAAGTTCTCAAAAATCATTTTATTCATTTTAACAGATTGACTCAACACACACATGTGAGCACAGTCAAAATATCCACATCTGATGCCTAAAATAGTGTGAAGAATTCAAAATGGAAATGCAAATTGTCATCAATAATTGCGATTCATGTGAACAGATTACAATGTTTCCGAATAAATTAAACTTTCTTCAGAATATTTGCAACAAATTTTCAGCTGATGTTAATCCATTACCAACAGATTTTCAAATGGAACAGGCAAACTAATTTTGAACTCAGATGAAATTTGATAATGCTTCTTTACAAGAAATTTATCAGATCTATTTTCCATGGAAATCATTCACATATCTTAAATAATAGGGACATCTCTTCTATCACATTTATTCATTTTATCTCTCACATGTCAGCACATGTATTAGTGAACAACTTTTCTCAAGTATGAAGCATCTGAAAAGTAAAATAAGAACAAAACATTCAGATGAACATCTGGAAAATTCACTTTAAATTGCAACCAGTTTCTTTAAAGCAGGCATTGACTCAGTGGCAAAATGCGAAGTCACAAACCACACTGATTGTTTAAATGTGTTATTTTTAAATTTAATTTTGTTCTTCTATACCTCAATATCTCATTAATATTCATTCTCAAGTGTTAGCTTTCATTTTTTAATTCCCACTAATTTTGTTTTGATGCACCATACATTTAATAACATAAAATGTATATAAAGAAAAAATTGTTAAGTATCTTTATATAATGATTGTAAGACCAAAAAACAAAAATTACAAATCAAAACATTTACAACAAAATTATATTGTGTTACAATCAAACATCTTTACAAACCGCATTACTCCCCTGGATTAAAATAAGGAAACTTTGTTGTTAGAATCACATACATTTCATGTGTGACATGTCTCTGCCTTTAGGCATTCAAAGTGACAGTGAAAAAAAAAAAAAATCCATACCCTGATAGTCCAGGTCAATTCTTTGAATGTTCATATAAGTTTCAAGCAATGCCTTAATTCCTTCGTTAGTAAAATTACGGCTTGATGGCATTTCACCGAGAGGAAGGTTGAAGCATGACAACCAATCATTGTCATCAGTGCCTAAGACTGTCTCTTGGACAGCAAAGTAGAGGACTCAATCATGTTTCATCAGGTTTGTTGGATCAAAGTTTGGCTTCGATTACAACAAGACTCCTATTGAAAACTTAAATTTTTGTATCTAAATAACATTGTTACATTGCCATGTCACCAAGCCTGCTTGACAGATTTCAGTAACCATGTACATTCACTCCAGATCTCTTCCTAAGTCAATAACAAATGAATACTTCTACAACAGAACATCATAAATTCACTGCACTACCAATACATTTCTGATCATTTCAACCTCTTCAGTATGATGCATTTAAGAAAAAGGGTTCTTAACACAAACTGTGTATGTTGTGTTTTGCTTTAAAACTCTTAACATATTAGAAATATTTGCTTGCTTCCCGCACGAACTTGATTTGTGATTATCATGTTATTTGAATGATTATCTTTGTCCCGTGAACTTTATTACAATCAACATTATAACAAATAATAATAATAATAATAATTATTATTATTATTATTATTATTTCCATAAACGCCATTACTGATTACGCTACATGATTAACATGTGTAATTGTTCCAGGATCCGCTTTTCAGCTGTATCCCTAATTACAACAAGGTTGTTACGCCTAGAAGTGTGAATTATGAGATGATAGGATGATGAAGGTGAAGGAACAATCATAAATACGACCAAGTCTATGCAGGACTCAAACCTGCAGCCACCTTGGCATAGATGAAGGCTGCCGCAACCGGCTGTGGCATGGGGCTGACTATTATTATTATTGCACAATTGTTATTATCTGATTATTTTAATTAATTTTTCCAAGTACTGTAAAAACTTATTAGCTATTTTTTCATCACATATTCAATTTACAATTCTACATAATAAAATAAATTAACACCTTTTTCAGTAAACAACAAATTTATATCTCGTTAACACAAGAAAAGTCAATATCATAAATTTCAGATACATATCAATATCATAAGTATTAAATATCAGAAAAATTTCCTCTCTGGAATGATCTACTTTAAAACACTGAAAATGATAGATCAAAATGCACATCCAGTAAAAAAAATTCATTTGCAAATTAAAGAATTTAACACTACATTATTAACAACAATTAAATATTGTCACACCCCAACTACTTTTGAAGAGGCCATATAAATTCAATTAAGTCTAAAAATTTCTCAAAACCTAAAGCAAAAAATTTAACACCATATTTAGTAAGACAACTTGAAATCATACAAATATATGAATGAATAATCATAATAAATTTGGTCGGAATAATCAATAAAAAGTGAAATAAAGATTTTTAAGGATTTAATTTGGATAAGTGAAACCATTTAAAATTATCCAAAAATTAATCAAACACAATGTTAAAATGTTTTCACTATAAGTATGTCCCATAATTCAAATATTATGCCTTAAGATTATATTTCTGAATAACAACAATCATACAGTACTCTAGTGTAAAATTACAAGTGCGTATTTCAAGGCAACAAATGTGTCAACTTGAACTAAAGTTTATTTCTGACCATACAAAGATATTGCAGATTCTATTAAAAGTAAAACCAATAATTTTCAATCAAATTAAGCACAAAGGAATTAATATGTTCTAAACAAGAATCAGAATTGTAAAAAAAAGAAGATATAAATAATAATAGTGGGCTGCCCCTCTGATGTGATAGCCAGTAGGAATAAAGCAATAATTTTACTGAATTCACAAGCAAATCAAGAAAGCAATTTCCTTTTCTAATTCTTCTTATATTCACTATCTTTTAAAAAAAAATCAGTAACAAAGAATCAAATTTCAATTCAAGAAAGTATATCACATCTCCTACAGTAAATGTTACTAAAACGAAATTGTGTACACATTTCTAAATAATTGAAAAAGAAACTACTCCCAACTACAAACCTTACTAACATTACGAAGTAGACACTAGAATGCAAAGAAACAATTTGTATTCAGATTTTGTCCTCCTAACAATCGCGTTGTTGACATATGATACTGTCAATTCATTTTTCGCTCGGAAACGAACTTAAAAAGTCCCAAGTTCATAAAAGCATGGTGTATTTTTCTTATTCGTCACAACACGTAACGGGGTTCATACAACTTACTGTTGTATGAACTAATAAACATGCCTGTGTTCATTGTAGAACTCATGAGCCACGCTAATTGACTTTCGGTAAGTGAACTCTGCAGCTGTATGTTTCAATGGATCGATGAACGACAAATCGTAAAAAAATAAAAAAGACCTGCTTCGGCAGAAATACCAGCAATTGTTTACAAATGCGAAATAAACCTACCTGTATTTTATACACAACTGCCTAGAAGATCTGCTCACTCAACACGCCACTTCTCTTGAAACAAAATCATTGCGACTGTACATATAATTATCACACTCCTTTCATTACAAAAGTTTTCAGATACACAATTTTAAACAAAGAACATGAAATTTACACTGCACCAAATTATAATTTCTCCCGAAACCTCAATCACACAAAACTAATCGATTCATTCACAAAATGTTCATTATATTTCTCACAGGCTTCTTCGGGCACAAACGCGGAATCGGTAGCAACCACCAGCAACTTCACAAGACAGTCTTGAGTCCTAACCTGACTCTGTTCGGTTCTGATCTCGTCCGACTCCGGTGTTTCGCGAGACAACCAGACAAAAAGCACAATCCTTTAACGAGAATCGGAAGGTTCGTCAGTGATTTGAAGAAAATCCAATATTGACTTGACTTTCAAACCATATCTGCGTGACTGATGACTGGGGAGCGAATTTCTATGATTTTGAATAATTTGGTCTGTTGCTTCAGAGCACAGTTAAGTGAAATTTCTTGATATTTGGTTGGAAGTGGATGCTATGTAGATTAAAATCATGGATTCAATTGATGAATTGGTGTTGTTCTATGTTAATATGTTAGTGCAAATTTGGTGATTTTTTTCCTGTTGGTGCATATTCGTGTAATTATAGGCGCATATTTCGTGAAAATAGTATTATCTATACAGCATTACATATTTTCATTGAAAGTATTTATTTCTGAGCGTTCAACAGCTTGTCACCACGCAGGAATAATGCAGAGAGAGCAAAGAAAACTAATATTTCGATGTTCAAGACCTTGTTGCCGAAAATCGCCGGCTCTTACGTCTGACAATATGCGTATGGTATTTGTAACAAACTGCAATTCAGCGCGGAAATTGTAAAAATGAAGTGGAGTTGTTAGATTATTTAGAATACATCTACATTACGCTATTTTTTCAATAAATGATAAAATATCTGTGCAAATGTACGATATTTTTTGATATCTTTTTTTATTGAGGCACAAGAAATGCCACATGTCATACAATGTACTTCCCCAAGGTCAGGTGCGGATGCACGGGGAGGGAAATGAGGAAAATCTCCTCCCCCCTAAAATTTTTCAGTAACTATTAATTTCGACTTGTCCCGAGACTTACACGCAAAAATATTTTCGTATTATCATTAAAAGATAAAAATAATATCGCAGCATGAAGTGAGTGTAGCCTGCGACATTTTACAAACTCTGTTAAATGACAATTGCAAGATATCATTTTGAATTTCCCCTCCTAAAATTCGTCTCTAGATCCGCCCCTGCTAAGGTAAATATTTACTCCCGAAAAGTGAGGTAGATAATAGTCTGTTGTACAAAAATATATATTTTCATTCCAAGCATGCTTCTGAAATTTTATCAAGAAAGATTGATACAATAAATGGAATATTTTTCATTTGCATCATTGCATACTAAAGTGTGTATTTCCATTTTTTAGGTCATAAATGCATTTTTTAAAATCATATTTCAAGATATTTTAGGGCATAAAAATCCTCTCGCTACTGATAATTAGAGCTGCGATTTATATGTAACATCAAATAGTAGTGCCTAGGTCGGCAAAGTTTCGGTGCACTTCTTTTTCTTTCCATTTTAGCAATAGAAAAACATATTTTAATCTAGGTAGATTGTGATATTACTAACAAATTTGCAAATGAAACAGTTTGACGAAAGCAATTACAGTAAAATCTGACAGAACAGGAACCCATACAAGAAAACCTGTCTTAACCGGAAAATTTCTTCGGCCTTTGAAGTTAAATGGAATTTTACACAGCATAAACGGAACCTCTCCAACGCGGAAACGAAACGATTTTTTATCTCCTGCAGGAAAATAATCGTTATAAAACGGAAATTCTATGAATATAACTCAATTGAAATAGATACGCGAGAATCTCTTAATGGAATAAATGCGTCTGCAAGTCTGTTTTAATTTCTCTGTCCCTGTGATATGCGTTGTATTCGTGGCAGCCGGATAGTGAAGGTGAGGGGCTTCAGTTGTCAATGTAGAATTCGAGTCTCTCAAGGTGAGGGGAATTCCCTCCCTTCCAGCTCTCTGAGCATGGGAATTTGTACGGATATGACTTCTGTTGACACATATCTCGGCCCCGCGATGTGAATCATAACCCCTCGGCCAGAGCAGCATTGGTCAAGGTTAGCGAGGGTATTAGAAAAACATAGTAATCTGGGCTAGGATGCATTATGCGTTGAAGAGATGGCGAGATGAAGATATGTGCGAGTAGAAATGACTCCCGATCCCCGTCCCCGTACGGGGGATGAGCCCAAAACAACCACCCACCAGAAGTCAACAGTTCAAAGAGACCCCACGAGGGGTCAGGCGAACCTAATTTAAAATCTCAGGAGACTTTGCAGATGGCGAGCAGTCCGGTTGCAGCCACTAGAGAGTGAGGTAGTGTATTTTTATGAGTTTCACAACCTGTTTAACAATGGTTAAAAAATAACACAAAATAATACAGTTTTCCATTTCTGAAAACGTAATAGAAAAAGTGTTAGTGAGTGGAAAACTATAAAACCAAAAATCTCTAAATGAATGTCGGAAAAAATAAAATTATTTTAGTGTTCAAGTTGGGAAGATTTTCCTTCCAATTGTTGGAAATATGTTCTATATTAGTTTATTGGTGATTTCTTCCATAATTACGTTATGCGTTAATATATGTTTATAATTACAATAAAGTGATGCACTTTACTGGTTTCAGGATTGAAATATCAATATAACAAGTGTCATAGAATAGACAACCCTGAATAAAACGGAAACCTCCGTAAACCGGAATATTTTTATCCCGATCTATTCCGTCTTAGATTTCACTGCATAATGTTAAATTATAATACATCGTTAAATATTGTTGTGTGATTAAAACTAGGATGAAAATAAACTACAATATAATTTATTTGTAATTATATATTTTCTACCTTGTACCATTAAAATCAAAAAACAATAAATTGACCGGGGGCGCCAAAAATATTTGCATAGGTGGCAAAATACATAAATCCGCTACTGCGTATACCGGATGATCAGTTTAAAACGCAACCCCTTCTGTTCGAGGTACTGAGATAAAAGTGAAAGAAGTGCAAAACTACTTCTGGGACAGCCTCTTGACTGTATTTCTTCGACAGTCCCATCACTCACCACCCCCTTCCTGTGGTCTAAATCATACTTGCTCAAAGCGTCTTCATTCAGAGTTTTGAAGTTAACTTACTCTCAGCCTCAGCATAGAGGAACAGATTTGTATTTCTGAACACAATCTTTGAAAGTGTGGCAGGCAGCATTCAGATAAAATATCTGGGTCTATTCCGAACAAGAAAGTCATATTTCGTTTGGTGAAGTGCTATCGTGAGACGGGGGGCGTGTTTGATCGGAAATGCATTCGCCGAAGTAGTGCCCAAGCAGCGAAAACTAGTAATTCGGAATTTTATTTCAATTTCCCCGTAAACATCATTATGGACGCTTCAGCAACAATATAATTTTTCTTATGGAAGTGCACAACAAAATTGAAAATGCGCGCATTCAAACAAGGGACATTTCAGGAGCTTAAGGTTTCTGATGAGGTGCTAGCATGAATCATGAGTCTTGAGGCACTTTATAAAGTATTTTTTAATAATTAGGCTTGATTTCATCTAGATGCATATGATAACCAGTAAAACAGTAGACTCTGGGATACTGAGAGGCCACAGAAAACTACGAGAGACCATTGCATTGAAAAAAGATTGGAGTATGTATTTGTGTGTGCATATTATGCATGTGTGCATTTTCTCGACGCAAAATAATTGGTCCCTTCACTTTTTAAGAAACAGTAACAGAATATATACAGGTGTCCAGGGAAGAAATGTCGAAAATTAAATAATAAGTTCTTAAGACAATTTTAAGCATATTTTGTCTTATGAACTACTTGGATATTTTTTATGGCTGAGCCGCAAAATGGAATTAAAAGTTGGTTTGAAAATAATTCTTTCTAGGCAACAAATTGCATTGCAGAAGCATATAAACACTCTAGAAACATGCAAATAATAAACAATTTACAACTTCCTAGAGTGTTTTTATGCTTCAGCGATGCAAATTTTTGCCCTGAAGGAATTTTTTCAAACCAACTTTTGAGTGCTTATGGCAGCTCAGGTGTTCAGAATATCCAATTAGTTTATTAAACAAAATATCCTTTAAATTATCTAAAAAGCTAATTTTCCAAATCAGAATATATTGAGACATTTTTTTATCCCTTCTTGAAAAGGACGAGAAAAATAGTTGGTTTCAGCAAGATGGGGCGACATCACATACTACCAAGTCAGCAATTTCTGGAAGACTTTTTTGAGAACCGAATTATTTCACGAGGTTTGTGGCCCCCTCGTTCGTCTGATTTTTCAACACCAGCTTTTTATCTTTGGGGATGCCTCAAAAGTAAAGTTTATGCAAACAAGCCTGATAATATCGAAGATCTGCAAAGAACCATCGAGGAATGGATTCGCATAATTGACGAAGGAACTTTACCTTGGGTTGCGGCAAATGTTTTCAAGCTAGTTACTGTTTGTTTGTTAGTTAATGGAGGGCATTTTGAACATTCTTTGTGAGATTTTCAAGTTTCCGACACCAATTTTTCTTCATAATAAATAATTTCTTTTTCTCCTTTACCGATCACTGAAGTTGTTTTCTTATATTTGTTTGCAGGGAATTTTTAAAACATTTATCATTAAAATTAAATATATTACACGAAGTGTAAGGCTGTGATGTACCGTAAGTAACTTTATTTCAATAATAATAATAATAATAATAATAATAATAATAATAATAATAAACACATTCGTACACCACATTAGTAGAAAAAGACACATTCAGACACCACGTGGATAAGTGGGAAGTTGCACCAGAGCTACCAAAACAAAAACAAGGCAGACTAAAGTGGTCAGAAGCACGTAAACAAGCTTTCTCACAAAGAATAAAAGCAAATTATAAAAACAAAAAGAGCCCAAAGAGAAAATTGAGACTCTTGCTTAAAGTCGTCCACAAATAGGGAGAATTTGCCAATAGTAATAATAATTATAATAGTAATAACAATAATAATAATAATAATAATAATAATAATAATAATAATAATAATAATAGCGTACATTTGTTCTGCGGTTCTGGAATTAATAATGTATTAATACATTTATAAAATAACAAGTACAAAATATGTGTACATTTCTGGAGCATATTTGTTGTGAAACTAAAAGAAGCAAAATTTGTTATGAAATATACCTTAATGTA